GCCTCACTCGGAAGCCTGCCGCCGGCAGGTCAGACTGACACCAGGACTCGTGTTCAAGGAGGAGCCCGAGCCTTCACCAAAAAGGTATCCGACACCAGACTGGTCGCGCTCACCGACTCCACCGCCGCAGGTTTCCTTGACCACTGAGAAGAACCATGGCGATGTCCAGCGGTCACAACGTGAAGAGCAGACAACCCCACTTGTACGGCGCCCAGCCCTTGCACTACCGCCAAGGAACAGCCGTAGCAACGGCGGAGACGCCTCCGCGGTGGTCTCCAGAGCTGGAAGCGGACCCGACCTACCCGTACAGCGTCGTAGAGTGGAGCAAAGACGTACGGAAGTGGCAGGCAGCTACGAAGCTCGCACCCGAACGACAAGGACCACTACTTTCTCTGGCGCTGGGGACAGCCGCGCGCACGGTAGCAGACGAGATCCCCATCCACGTGCTCCAGCACGGAGCAGAAGTGGACATCGGGGACGGCGCCGGCGTGCGTAGGCATGCGGGCGTCGACATCTTGCTGTCGATCCTGCGCTCCAAGTTCCCGCCAGATGCTGAAGCGAGCATGTTGAGGACAGGCCTAGATTTCTTCACCTTCACGCCAGCTCGTGACGAAGATCTCCGGTCCATGTTCTTGCGCTTAGACATGCACCTCGACCGCGCAAACAACGCCACTGAGCTCGGCATTCGCGTCCCGTTCCGCACGTGGATGTTGTTGAGTTTGCTGCGGCTCCCCGCCCGGAAGTGGGCAGACATCCTGAAGGAAAACGGCAGGGGGGCCCCACGAACAGAGTCGGAGTACGTCGAGGTGAAGCAGCGTCTCCTACGGGATCGCGCCATAGAAGACAACGTGAACGTCTTCCACGGCGAGTCCCACCAACGAGGCGCCCACGCAGGCCTGTACTTCTCGGACGAGCTGGAGCCCGTGCCGCTGTACCTGGCCATCGCCAACGACTGCAACCGACAGGCCGGCGGCAGCGGCAGCGCGCCAGCAGCAGCGCCGCCCCGCGGAGACCAAGACGTCTACTACGACGTTGGGCAGGCGGCAGACGACGACGACGCTGCCAACGAGGGCGGTTGGAGCACCGACACCGAGTGGTGGGGCAGGGGAGCTTCGGAGGACCCCTGGTCCCAGGAGCGCTTGGACGCCGAGCGGCAGGCTGCCCTCGATGATCCACGCTACCTGACGTCAGTCTGGTGGGAGGCCAGGAAGGCAGAGCGGCGCTACCGTGCCGCGGCCGGCCGTTTCGGACCGAAACACCAGGCTCGCACGAGACGGTTCGGGGCCAAGAGGTACACCAAACGCGGGCCTCCGAGGCACGCAGGCGGCAAGCCGCAGAAGGGCTTCTTCATCCACGACACCTTCGTGTCGCTGGAACACGTCCCAAACGAGGACATCAGAGCGTTCTTCGAGGGCAAGGGCCGGTTCAACAAGGGGCCGCACAAAGCCGCGAGGTGCTTCAGGTGTGGCGAGCCTGGGCACCTGGCCGGGGAGTGCCGCAGCCGCGAGAACCTCTGCTTCAACTGCAAGAAGCGGGGCCACCTCGCGAAGGACTGCCCGCAGCGGGCCCACTACCTCCAGGACCAGCCAGACGACTCCCAGGATGCCGCCGAGCAGCTGCGTGGGGAGGCGACGTCCTGTCGCTGGGCACGGAGACCATGTACATGGTCAAGGAGGAGGCTGCCGCAGCTCCGGCGCCACCTGGCGTGCCAGGAGCAGACGACGACAGCAACGTGATGATGGCGCAGCCGCCGCGGGCCCTGCCTGGAGGCGTGCCTGGAGGAGCTGGAAGCCTTCCGGGTGCACTCGGCGTAGGCAGTTCTGTGAGCTACCTGAGCCAGGGCATCATCACAGGCCTCGACGACAACAGGTGCCAGATTCAGGACTCCCTCCACGGATGCATGGTGTCAGTGCCGCTGTCAGCCATCTGTGGCGCTAGCCCAGATGCGGGGTGGAATAGACATGTTCCTCCCGTATCAGGCTCGGCTGTGCTGCCGGCGCGGGAGGAGGATAGAAATGTCCTCTCCCCAGCGCCCGCCGCTGCCGTGTCCGCCGACGATTTGCACATCGTCCAGAAGCTGCTGGGTGTGTCGTCAAAACCACCATCATCTACATCATCTATCCCTCCACCACTTCTTTCCTACCCGACTCCAGCTCCGATCCCTGCTATGATATACGGTTCGACAACAGTGCCCGCACCAACGTGGGTAGCTTCAGGGGCAGGCTCGACCGGTGTGAGCGCGCCGACTCAGCAGGGATTCGTGGGAGGGCCAGGAGAGGGAACAGAAGGAGGGCAAGGAGGAGGACCAGTTGAGCAGCCAGGAAAAGCAGGACGACCAGGAGGAGGACCACCAGCAGCAGTTGCGACGACAGGGCTCGGATCAGCGTGGGCCGTCTTTCCCGTGCACGGTTCGGACCCGACTCTTGCTTCCACTTCATTTTCGTCTTCTCCCACGTCCCACTCATTTCTTTGGGGAGGATTGCAGGGATTGCAGGGGCTGCCAATGGGAATTATTTTCGGACCAATTCCGACATGTGTAGGCGCAGCACAGTCGACAGCATCACAAGCAGCACATCCGACTCCGGCTCCCGCCCCTGTCTCCCGCCCGCCAGGTCCTACATATGTTACGTCTTTCTTGGGAGGAATGTCACGGCCATCTGGGGGGGCGGCAGTAGGGTCAGCGCATGCATCGAATCCGACACCGGCACGCGCAGCATATTCGACACCAGCGCACGCAGCATTTCCGACACCAGCGCGCTCAGCACATCCGACACCGGCGCACGCATCACATTCCGCGGCAACACGCATGCAGTTTTGTGATTCGTGTTCGCACGGTATTTCTTCTACTGGGGCGCAGGGGTTGGAATCTACGGTATGTTGCGGCGGTTGTTCTTCGATCGCACCTGCGATCGGCACGACGGGTCCGGGGGGATGTTCTGGGACGACATCTGCAATGGGTTCGGCAGGAATGGGGGGGCCGATATGTGCATCGATGGGTATACCGATCCACCAACAACAACAACCACAGGCATCAGCAACGCCATGCCTACCAACGCCAGTTTCTAGTGAGAGTGCTGGTTTCTCGGTTGTCCCGTCCATGAGTCCAGAAACGATTTCTACCATCAACGGGAAGAGATCACCGAACACCATCGAGCCTGGCCCGAACTTGGCAACCACCACGCCTGTTACGACCTCGTGCGGGGTAGCAGCCAGGAGGCATGGGAAGTGCATCCCGCGCCGCCACTGGGAGAACGGACGCTGCATTCGGAAGGAGTGCATGTTCTGCCACCACGGCTCCAACACATTCCAACACACTACACCGCAACAAAGCATGTACCAAGCGAGGGCTCCAACGGTGCCTCCACGATGGCAGGATCCGCAAGCTGACCCTGGCCCCCTTCCAGCTCAAGACCCCTGGACAAATTATGACAAATCGTATCCAATCTTTGAGTGGGAGGAGGATGAGGAGGTCAAGCAACAAAATGTGCAGCCACAAAGTGTCTACAACCATTCGGAGGCCAGGACCAGTGATGTTGATGATGGGCTCCTGGTCGATACTGGCGCTCGTCGCAACCTGGCCGGCACGAACCTCATCGACCGACAGAGCCATGCTGGGTACCAAAACGGATTTACGACTACGTGGAGTACCTTAGATCAGCCACGGAAGATGAGCGGAGTAGGAAAGGGAGCTCAGACAGTACGACGTGCAGCCACGATTCACGGAGTCATTGGTGAGGGCGACCTCATTTCCTACTCAGCCCCAGTTCTGGAGGACGAGGGCGCCGACGTCCCAGCCCTCTACGGTTTGGATCCCATGGCCGAGAGAAACACCTACGTAGGCACGCGAACAGGCAAGCTGCACATGATCCCACGAGGCACGGATGACCAGATCATCTGGCCAGACGGCACCAAAACCATTGAGTGCCAGAAGTCACGATCAGGACACTGGATGATACCGATCTCCAGGTGGCACAAACTCAAGAAGGGCAGCAAGACGGTCGAGGCATTCCCGACAAACGTCGGGGTGTCTAAACAACATTGACAAACAAAAAACATCGTTGGGTGCAGAGGGTGGCCGGCACCCAGCAGACGCGAACAACAGGCCACCGACCACGCAGCCAATAGAAATGTTGGCCGCACGACCGTCCACAGCAACCTCGACGAACCTACGGCAAATTGAAAAATTTGCCAGCGAACCACCAACACAACACAACACTCCAAACATATTTCTGGTCGGGGAGCGGCTGGCAACGGTGAGAATGACGATGGCTAAATACGACCTCTTCCCATCCAGAACGTGCTCCGTGCTTCAATTCCAAAGGAAGCATGCATCTCCAGACGCCTGCGCAATGCTTCAAGCCATCCACTTGGATCGGCCACAGCTTCTTTGGATTCAGTGGTCATACAAATTGCAAGAACCAGGGCGGCGACCACAGGTACGTGCGGCTTTGGAGTTCTTTTCGGGAATGGTTGAACAACAGCTGCGTTACGGCGGAGATGTTATATTGGAAGCCAAAGCGTGCGACGTCCCTGTCCGGGACGAGCTTTTCGCAGGGGCGAAGCGTTTAGGAGCACTACTCGGACCACCTACTCGAGTACACTGGTGTGCTTTGGGAATCATGGGGGGATCAGACAACGCGTTAGTATGTGGTGAACACCTCGCCATGTCGAACAAACCATGGCAGCACGCATCATGTGTATGTGGCAGACAAAGCTCGACGTATGTAGCGAACGAAGGGACAGCATACGAGCAGTTCGTGGAAAAAGGTACTGCAACATTTTCGCTTCATCGACTCCTGCCAGCTCAAGCCAACCAACACGGAGTGGCACTACGTTCAACGTCATTTCAAGAAGAAAGCAGGAGCACGGGATTACGTCCAGCACCACCGACAGCACCAGCCAACCAACGACGACAGCATCGACGAAGAGGGAATTGAAAAGTTTCCGCTTCGCCGAGGCGCAACAACACCACCAGCTAAGACAGTCACCTTCCACAGCACACAAGTACACACATACCACGTCGACCGAGCAACGTCAACAGCCGACCTCCAGTCGTCACAATCCCTAGCATCACCGTCATCACCCTCGCCTCATGACCTCTCCTCTTTTCCTACCGACTTTCACGAGCGAGCGAAAACGAACAATTCTCAGCGGGAGAAGGACAAGACACCAGAGGAAATTAAGGCCATGAGGAAGAGGAAACCACAGGAGCAGGAGCCACATTTCGACGATTGCGGCAGCGACCTGGAACCATTGATGGATAATGAAGCGATCACTGCCCTTGCAGCGACCGACCCGTGTGGCAGCTCTTTCTGGCTTGACAGCAGCGGAATGGAAACGTTTCTCGGTTGTGGTGATGTTCGTGCTGGGGACATCGATAGTTATCTTCTTGACCCAGAGTTCTCGTTGAGCTATCTGTTGGGGAGTGACGGAGAGGACACAGAGTATTGGCTTAGACGACCACCCAATGGAGAGTATGTGAAGCTTGGCAACCTCACCGGCTATCTGTCCAGGGAGGAGAGAAGAGGAACTGACTTCCTCGAGATCTGCGGCGGCGCGACCGGCGTCACGAAAATGGCAGTCAGGAGACACTTGACAACAGGGGGCGTCTTGGACATCGTGACAGGAGCTGATTTGACGCAGGACCACAACGCTAATCGTCTCTTAGAGAATTTGTCCACGCACAAACCCCAAGTCGTCGTCATGGCGCCGCCGGCCGCTGATCGCGCAGAGACCGCCCGAGCCCGACAGATACGTGAGAATATAGCCAATGTATGCGCATTGGCGGCTACGAATCAGTTGGGAGGTGGCAGACACTTCGTCTTGGAAGGCCCACAGGATTCGGACATATTTTGTCTACCGTCTATGCGCAACGTCACGTGCAGATTCAATGTCGCACGGGCCACCTTCCCACAGTGCGCCGTAGGGTTGGTCAGCCCAGACGGGCTTCCCATACAGAAGTGGACGACACTATGGGCAAGCACCGGAATCATGATTTCGGACTTTTCTTCGTTGCGTTGCACCCACAAGAAACACTGGGTACCAGCAGCCACCGCGAATGCGTCGCCGAAAGCACGGTGCGCCCATGTCTGGCCAGAGCTTATGTGCCGCATGATTGTTGACGGAATCTTACGTGTGTTGCGCCAGGATTCTGAGAGATCCTTTCCTGCACTCAACAGGAAACACCCAGAAGAGGCTGTCTTCGACTGTCCTGGGTGCAAGAGGCACAAAGTATGGCACCACCCACTCCACACTCGACGAGCCGAACCTCCGGAGCTCTGCAGGTACCACGACAGAGTACCTGAAGGCATCACATGCCCTGCCTGCCTGGCTGGCAAGCACCACGCCGACGACTCGCACACGCAGGTGGCAGGGGAATGTCCTGCACCAGACTCGATGTACAGATTTGGGAGACAACGGAAAAGCGGACCAGTACGTGACCCAGGCAGCCGAGGGAACGGAGGAGCGGACCGACGACGACGTATCACCGACGACGACGCTCTCGACGACCCAGGGCCTCTCAGAAGCCCCCTCCTGTCTGGACCACCCGCGGAACCGGCAGCGCAGGAGGAGGGCGACATTCCACCGCACCCAGACGCAGCACCAAGCGGTGGTAATGTTCCAGCGCCACCAGCACCTGCTCTAGAGCTCGCGAAGGAGGAGGAAGGAGGAGAGCTGCCCATGCCAGGCGAAGTGGGCGACCCACCACCAGTTCGCGCGCAACGAGCAGACGCAGGCGTTCCGAAACGAAAGCAAACCGACGCGCAGACTCAGGAAGGCACCGGCGGCAAAGAAGATTGGAGGACACACGGCGCATCCAGAGTTATGCGACGCCTCAAATCTGAAGACGCCGACGAACGCAAATTAGCTATCCAACGTCTGCATATTCGGTGGTATCACCTCCCCAGCACCCACATGCAGTCACTCATGAGGGCGGCCCAAGTTCCAGCAAAAGCAGTCGGGGAAGTACCAGGTGTAGTACAAGGGTGTGATGTGTGCAGACAGTGGCAAATACCACCACCACACTCAGTCACGGCAGTTCGTCTGGTCACCGAGTTCAACTTCGAGGTGCAGATGGATCTGTAGTTCTGTCGCTCGCTTATCGACCAACCGCACGTGATGCGAACAATCATGCACTTGATAGACGTCTGCATCAGATGGTCGGCAAACGGGCTCCTGAAAGACAAGGAGGAAACGACGCTCTGCACCAAAATATCCGAGCTGTGGCTGTCCCACCACGGACCCATGCGGGCTCTGGTAAAGGACGGCGAATCTGGGATGAAAGGCCGAGCAGTAGCCGATTGGGCTGAAGCGAACCGCATTCAGCTCAAGTACAGACCTCCTGGAGCCAAGGCGTGGATAGCAGAACGACGCCAGCAGATACTTCGAAAGAGCTTGCACACCACCGAAGACCAGATGAAGAAGGAGGGCATCTTCGCGCCCATAGAGCAAACCTTGGCAACCATCACGTTTGCCCACAATGCACTGGTCAACATCGACGGCAAAACGGCCTACAACGCGCTCTACGGACGCACGCCTTCACTACTGCCGACGTTCGACGGAGCGACGCAAGCCGAACAGAACGACGAACTACCACGAGGAGAAGCCCTGACCCGGTATCAATCACGTATCCGCGAAATCGCGCTGAGCACGATCATTGAACACACGGCCAAGGACCGACTACGACGAGCAGAACACCACCGCACTCGTCCAGCACTTGAGTTGGCCAAGCTCAAACCTGGACAACAAGTTGACATTTGGTTTGAACCAACCACCAAAGATGTCAGCGGATGGCGTGGCCCAGCCGTTGTTCACACCGTACAAGCCGCAGAACACGTGGTCACAGTGCGGTATCAAGGACGTACTCTCGACAGGCGCGGGCAGGAAGTCCGCGAACACGTGGCTTATTTGGTCTTCCTTGTGAGCCAGAAACGACACCCACATATGCAATGGCAGCTTGTGCGCGAGACAGTGGAAGACTTCAGCATAAACACGACGAAAACGTACGGCCTCATCTTGCACCACAACAAGAACAACCTCGGCTGGCATCTATCTCGTGAGAGCATATCTACAGTAGGGCGTCGAGTTTTAGACGCGGGGCTTTTCTTGGCAGCCACCGTGGTGCGCATGGAAACGTGTACAACCATCAGGCTGGCAAGGGGGACGGCGACGCTGCAGCCTCTCCAAGGCTTCACGCACAGTGAAATCTGGATCCGGCGGTCCACTCTACAGAGCGGTGACATGGATGACGAGCCGCTGGTCTTCGACAGCGAATACGGGAAGAGCCTGCTCAAGCACGACCCTGACATCCGAAACAACACCGCTGTGTGGACATATTACTGCTTGATACAGTTTTTCGGGACTGCCGCCGACGAAGCAGAGCAGCTCGTACGACAGCATCCTGGAGTACGACTTCTGGCAGGAAGCGGCCAAGTAAAGCGGAGGAAGAGGAGGGAGGAGGGAGACGACGACTCTTCATGTCCGACCCCTCCCTCGCCCAAACTGCCTCCCGCCACTCCTGCCCCATCGACTCCAGCACCTCCTGTCCCCAGGCCCACCTACTCGACTCCAGCACCACCTCCTGAACCTCCAGCTCCCGGTCTGGACGCCGCGAGTATGCAGGGGGGGACGGCTTGTCCGCCACAGCGCGTGCCTACTGGAACGATGCTGGCGCCGACGCCGACCGCACGATTCTCCGACAGTGGTCTGCATAGAAATGTGCACCACTCCCCGAAGGGACCGACGATGGACGCACCGACGCCGCCAGGACGACACTACGACAGTGGCTTGCATAGAGATGTGCACCACACGCCGACACGACCGAATTGTACGACGACGACGACCCCGCCGCCGCCTAAGTTGCATAGCGTGCCGGCGGTCGCTCCACACTTGACTCCACTTCCACCTCCCGCGCCTTCACCATTTTCTTCCATGACGGACGCAAACATATCAAGATCACAAGCGACGGAAAGTACTCTAAGCAGCCCTCCCGTCAATGATCTCATAAGCTTGACTCCTCCTCCACCTCCACCGTCGCCTCCAGCACCGCCCGCAGGAGGAGGCTACCGACTCAGACGGTCAGAAACACCGCAGTCATACAGGTCGAGAACACCTGGGAGCAAACAGTCGACACCTGCCGTGATTCTCACAGCCCCTCCCCCTCCATCTTCACCACCTGCCGGGGGAGGAGAACGAGGAGGAGGCAGAACATGTGGAAGCAGAACAAGAACTCCAGCAAGCAAAGCTTCATCTTCGATGACGTGGACTCCTGTGCAGATGAGCGGCTACCCTAAAACACCACCACCTCCACCTGCAGCCAGAGCAACAGCACGTCAGGAACAAGAGACACCAAGATCTCGAAGCCCATTTGTTGCGAAAACGAAATCTCCAATACAGATCCCGATGCACTTGGGAGGTCCACCAGCGTCCCCTCCGACCACCAAAGCGAAACAGATGGCCACTCCGAGATCGAGAACACCACCAGAAAAACAACAAACACCTGTGACGAAACCGCCCCCGCCTGACCGACCACTACCACTACCGTGGCCGGCGGCCGGATCACAAGCTACAGTGTGGGATTTGGTTGCAGCACCGCGCAAGTATGCGCCTGGAGTGCACTCGCCGCCTGAGCACGGAGGAACACCAGAAAAGAGGTCAAGAGTCACCACCGCACCTCCCACGACTACGACGGGAATAGACATGTTCCCACCGCCAGCGTCGACGACTGAAGGCGCATCACCTGCACCGACTGTTCTGCGTCAGAGGCCTCCGCAATCCAATACGACGCGGTACCGATTCCTGCCGCCCTGCCGGCGCAACCTGTACAGCCGACAGGAGGAGCAAACTCATCGAACTCGAATCCACAGCTTCACCAGCCACTGTTGCCGACAGCCGAAAACGCAGCAACCATTCAGCAGAACAGCCCACCACAGGAGGATCAGGAGGAACATGATTGGAAACTGTGGACAGACGAGATCAATGAAGCTGACAGCGACGAGGGCGACGAGATACCAGACGGAGACGACGACGAACTAGGAACGGAAACGTTCTTAGCCAACGCTTGTGTTCCGACTCGCCGCGACGGCCCTCCAGAAGAAGTAGAGATTGGATTCGAGGGAGTGGCAGCACGGAGCCATACTGGCATGGGTTATCTGGTGCACGACGGCGAAACAGTTGTCAATGTGTGGAACACAGTTACTGGGGAGCAGAAGACTGTGATTTCAAAGTCCTTGACGGATCTCAGCAGAGAGGAAATGGTGAAACATGCGATCGAAATAGTTGAAGCGAAGAAAGCCGAACTTGTTTCACTATACGAGTTTGGGTGCTTCAGAAGGTATCCAAGGAAACGGGCGCACAACGTAGTAGACACGCGCTGGGTACCCAAATGGAAGCATCGTGATCTCAAGAAGTTCATCAAAGCTCGGCTCACCATGCGAGGTTTCAAGGACATGGACAGCAATCTGGCCACCTTCGCCGGGACTGCGTCGCGCTGGGGCCACAGAGTTGTCAACGCAGTCACAGTGCAGCAGGACGATTTGGGTTTTTTTTAGCTTCGACGTGCCAGCCGCGTTTGCCAAATGACTCACTTTTGAAGAGCTGTCACAACTCACGGGCGAGCCTCTTCGAATGGTGCAGTTTGAGCTTAACCGCGAGGACACGGAGCTGCTCAAGAGTATCCCTGGTTTCGAAACCTTCAATCCCAGGGAGGAAGTACTCATCATGGTTAAGGCGGTGTACGGACTCAAAGATGCCCCCAGGGCGTGGCGGAAGAAGCTGCGCCTCGTTCTGGAGGACTTCGGCCTTAGAGCTCTGTATGCCGACGCCCAGTTGTACGTACGACACGAGCAGACGCACCCAACGATGATCCTGTCAGCACACGTCGACGACCTCAAGGGAGGAGCGCCGCGGAAGCTAGCACTGCAACTCCTACAACACCTGGAAAAGTACGTTGACACCTGCACACAACAATGGGAGAACTTCGCACATGTGGGAATAGAGCACGTCGTGCGCCCAGACAGTATCTATACACATCAGGAGAAGTGTGTGACGACGCTCTCTGAGCTCGACCGCACTCTGTTTTGCAGGCAAGCCAGACGACGACGAGGTGAACGAGGAGGCGGCTTCAAGCTACGCGACTCTTCTCGGAGGCGTTGCTTGGCTGTGTTTGACTATGGCTGCTATTTGCGTGTATGTTCAAGCCCTGCAGAGGCATGGACAACGCCCGCGGGCGAAGGGCTGCAAGAGGCTGAACATGGTGCTACGCTGGGTACGGAAACACAAGCCGGGCATCATGTTTCGGAAACTCAAGGGTCCGCTCCGACTTGTTGGTGTCACTGACGCAGCCTTCAAGGCGATTCCGGAGGATTCGTCAGGTTTGGCTCTACGTGGTTGTGTCATTCTGTTGAACGGCGACGAGGAGGCAACGCCGTCGTCGCGGGATGGCAGCTGCATCATGTTGGAGCATCTCTGCAGGCGACAGCGACGAGTGGTCCGATCCACGTTCTCCGGCGAGCTCAACAAGCTCGTGGACACAGTGGAAATCTTGCTTGTCATCCAGATTTGTTTGCACCAAATTTGAAATGGATGTGAGACATCAGCACGGCTTCTGGCTGATGCGTTGGACCGAGGGGAGCTCAGTCCGCCGTGTGACGCCGTGATCGATGCACGCAGCGTCTTTGATTGCCTTGCCGCTACGGACTTAGGAGAACTTGTGGAAGGAAGTCTCGAACTTCATGGGCTCTCCTTGCGCGAGCGCCTCGCGACCGGAGCGCTCCGCAGGCTCTATTGGTCAGACACCCGTGACATGCTTGCAGATGGGCTGACGAAAGGGTCCGTTCCACGTGATCAACTCGTAATTGTGGCAACAGAGGAGACTACCGCACAGTGCACCCTGGAGCATGCACCACATGCGTCCAGGGCAAGAAACAGACCACAGGGAACACAGTGGTAAGGAACTGATTTGCCCACAGCGCACCGCGAGCAGCACTCCGCAGGCAGTGCGACGAACAACCACAACAGCCACAACTTTGAGCCAAGGGCATAGAAATGTGCCTGCGGCAGGCTACTCTGAGCCAAGGGCATAGAGATGTGCCCGCGGCACGCAAAGCTGAGATGTTGGCATAGAAATGTGCCTCATCTTTTCCTGCACTTCGGCGCGGGTGGCCGCCATAGCCATTCGCGCCAGCATAAGCATGCAGGCGACGGTCGCGATCGTCGTTTTCTGTGTGTATGTACTCTTAGACTTGACCGAAACTCTCGGGTCTCAGTGTCTCGTTTTACGGAGGACGATGTTTAGTGCGTTTCTTTCTCTGGAGATGTAGGCATAGTACACATATGCGCATTTGCACTGAATAAGCTGGGAGATGCACGGGCGAACTCATGAATCGGCCGCTGCAGTTACGACTCGTGCCTCTCAGATAATACTGGTGAGGATTTTTCTATGAGACGGCGGGCCCGGAGGAGAGTCGAAGGGGATATTTGCATAAGCCCCCATCTCTTCTGCTGTGCGTTCCGTCGCCTCTGGGCTCAAGCCCGCGGGTCAAAGCGACTGCAAAGCAAACGGCAAAGCCTTACAGCAAAACATCTTCTACTTACATCCTTGATTCCATTTGCTCTACATCTTGATTATCATTCTCATTGTTGTTCTTCTCCAGAGCGCGCCGCCGGCGCTCGAACTTTCCCCCTCCTCCTCCTCCTCCTCCTCCTCCTCCTCCTCCTCCTCCTCCTCCTCCCCTCCTCCTCTCTCCTCCTCATCCTCCTCCTCCTCCTCCTCTTCCTCCTCCCTCCTCCTCCTCTCCTCGTCCCCCTCCTCCTCCTCCTCCTCCTCCTCCTGCTCCTCCTCCTCCTCCTCCTCCTCCTCCCTCCTTCTCCTCCTCCTCCTCCACCTCCTCCTCCCTCCGTCTCCCTCCTTTTCCATCCTCCCTCGCGCGCCCTCCCCTCTTCACCGTTCCCGCGCCCGCCCTCCCTTCTGCCTCCGCGCCTCCCTTTCCCCCTCGTTGCTCATCCTCCCGCTGTTCCTCCCTCCGGCTTTCTCCCCGATCCTGCTTCCGCCGCTTGTCTGCCACTCCTTGCCTCGGCTGTGATTCCGCCTTGTTCTCTCATCCTCCTGCTCATCTCTCCCCCTCTCTTCCTGCACTTCCTCCTCCGATTATCGCTCCGCCTTCCCCCGCGCCCTCCGTACCGTGCATCTCCTCCCTGTGGCTCTCCCCGCCGCTCATTTCGTGAGACCCATGGGCGTGGCGCTGAAGAAAAACGACGAGTTGGACGGAGGAGGAGGAGGAGGCGGGATAGCTCAAGGGGGAGGAGGTGGCCGGGTGGTCGTCGTCTTCGTCGTCGTCGGAGGTGCTGTGAGGCCTCCTGGGCCCCTCCGCGGCCCAGAACGGGCTCAATGTCAGCGAGCCCCGCTCTTCGAGCCTCGTCTGTGTGGTAGGTAGGGGAGTCTTAGTATCGCGGCTTGTTACCATGATGCTTGTCGACGACGCCCACGGGGAATCACAGCCGCCCCCTTCCTTTTTGGAATCGCCCATGTGGCCGAGCGTTGTGGCAAGAGCTCTGCCAAGGTATCGGACCATGTCATGTGTTTCCCCAGCCGTTGTGGAACCCCCTCGGGGAACCTTTGAGGGAGGATGATGGGGAAGATCAGAAGGAGGAGGAGGAGGAGGAAGAAGAAGAGGGGGCATCTTGGAAGCCTCTGGGGACACTGTTGGAACTTCCTCGGAGCTTCCTGGAAACCTCTGGGAGCCTCATTTGGCATCTTGGTGGCCTTTGGGGGCTTCTCGGAGGCCTCTTTGCCCGTCTTAGGGCTCTCTGGGCCGACTTAGGGCCCCATTGGGGTGTTCCAAGGCCGTCTTGGAGGCCATCTTGGGCGTCTTGGAGGTCTCTTGGGCCCTCTTGGGGCCGTCTTGGGGGCCTCTTGGCCTGGTCTGGGGCCATCTTGGAGGTCTCTTGGCCGATCTTGGGGCGGGCTCTTGGGCCGCCTCGGGCCGCCAGGAGGCCGAACAGAATCAAATGCCAAGCTCCTTCAAGAACCAAAGGAACATCAGTGATGTTGGCCTATTCGGGCCTTCCTGGGAGTTCTCTTGGGGGCCTCTTGGGCCTCTTGGGCCGTCTTTGAGGCCTCGTGGGGGCCTCTTTTGCCGTCTGGGGGCATCTTGGAGCCATCTTTGGCCATCGTGATGGCCTCCTGGCCTGTCTGACTCCATCGGAAGCCGTCTTGGTGGACTCTCTGGGCCGACTTTAGAGCCCTCTTGGGGTGCTCCAGGGCCGTCTTGGAGGCCATCTAGGGCGTCTTGGAGGAGGTCTCTTGGGCCGTCTTTGGGCCTTCTTGGGGCCGTCTTGGGGGCTTCTTGGTCTGTTATGTTGCCATCTTGGCGGCCTCTTGGGCGATCTTTGGAGCTCTTGGGCCGTCCCGGGCCGTCGGGAGGCCGAACAGACACAAACGCCAAACTCTTTCAACACCTCAAGGAAAATCAATGATGTTGGCCTCTCCAGGCCTTCCTGGGGGCTCTCATGGGGGCCTCTTGGGCCGTCTTTGGTCATTTTGGAGGCATCTTGGGCCGTCGTGATAGCCTCCTGGCCCGTCTGAAGCCGTCGGAAGACGTCTGGGGCATCTCTGGGCAGACTTGGGGCCCTCTTAGGGTGCTCCAGGGCCGTCTTGGAGGCCATCTAGGGCGTCCTGGAGGCATCTTGGGCCGTCTTTGGGCCCTCCTGGGGCCGTCTTGGGGGCCTTTTGGCTTGTTCTGAGGCCTCTTGGGCGATCTGGGGCTTTTGGCCGTAGCGGGCGGGAGACCGAACGGGTGCAGAGGCACTAACCCTCCAAAATCAGCAACAATCGATGTGTTTGTCTTCTTCGGGTCTTCCTGGAGGACCTCTGGGAGGTCTCGTGGGCCGTCTTGGAGGCCTCGGGGGGGGACGTTTAGGAGCGTCCTGGGCCATCCTGGAGCCCGCTTGGGCAGTCTTGGTGGCTTCGTCGCGGGACAAGGAGGTATCTTGGACCTTCTTTGCCCGACTTGGAGACCATCTTGGACCATCGTGGGTGAACTTGGAGGCCATCTTGGCCGTCTTGGAGGCCATCTTGAGCCGTCTTAGAGGTTGTCTTGTGGACTCCGTGCTTGTTTGAGGGACTTTGGGGTGGCCGGCGGGACGGGTCGAAGCCCCAGGGAGAGTTCTTTTGGAAAAGGGCCAAAACCGAATCGTTAGGTATGATGTTCCAACCTACTTCAGCCTTGATCACCAGAAATAGGCTCGAGCACCAAGAAAATATCGACACTTCAGGGTTTTCACGTTTGTGGGCCCTGGGAGGCGATACCCGTTCGACACTGTTCAGGTACTTCTCTGTGGGCTCGAGAGTCTTTCTGGGATGGGGCCCTAAAGTGCGGTGGGAGCAGCAAATACCGTAAGGAGACTAGCACGCCAGGCACCCCTGTGATGAATCAACAGGGGGCGGCGGATCGAGTGGCCTCTGGCCCCTGCCGCCACCGTGCTTGCTTGGGCCGTGGAATTTCACAGCAGGCCTCGCAGAGGACCTGTGGGGGGGCCTTTGGGAAAGCCTTTCCGGGGGTAGATCCAGTGGGGGCGTTCGTCAAGGAACGTGCCCAGGAGGCTTCAGACCCTGGAGGGTTCCTTATCTGATGAGGGCGGCGGTGACATCCATGGCCGATCCACGATTGGTTTGCCACGGGCTTCCAGACCCTGGATTTCTTACCGAAGGTTTCCTTATCCAATGCCATCCCCGTATTGGGGGCCTCCAGGTCTCTTGGGGTTTCTTGGGGGCCTCTTGGGATCCGTTTGGCGTCTGGGGGTGAGGGTTCAACCGTCAACTCGGGTTCCCCCTCCTGGTGGCCGCGAACTCCTCTCGGGGCATCGGGCCCTCTCGGGGTCAATCAGGGCAGTCTGGTGTCTTGGGCGATCTGCAGTGAATAGTTGGCCGTCTCGGACGCCTTTCAGACCGTAAAGCCGATAGTCCGCATCATAGAAGAACATTTGGTCTTCAATGATGGGGGCCTTTTTTGGCCAGCCCCCATGGACCCCTAAGACCGCCCAAGAGGCACCTAAGAGGGTTTCAGGACGCGCCACGGGACCACATTAGGCCGTGTTCAGAGTGTCGAATTCCAACCACGCGGGGACCCATAGGCATTAGCAAGAGAGCCCAGGAGACCCTGGAACTCAGCGACCCGCGCCACCTAAATAGCACTTACATTAGTCATTAGTCAACGCGAAGAACCCGAACGGACCTGAGGAAACTCCACCTCGTGTCGAACGTCGTGGCGTCGAATACTGCGAAGGTCTTTCGACCGTTGCCGCCGGCCCTGAAGCTGGCGCCCTCCCCGGGAACCCCGCTGGTGACCCCCCTGAGGACCCGCCGGGACCCCCGAGGGGCGGCACTCTGATCCAGGGCCCACGCTGGCGACGCCTCCCCTAGCTGGGAAGGGATAAAGGGAAGGAGCCTCCCTTCTTCTCAACTGCGACGTTCCTTGTCCTTCCTCTCACTTCCCTTGGGACTGACGACGGCGACGACAGCCTCCTCAACACGCCGAAGGGTCGGCGGATTTTCGTGCACCCCATCGTCTTACTTGTGAACAACAGCAAGCTGCGCGCCTCGTAACTTCGACGATCTGGCAAGCCTGCTGGCGACTACAAATGGATGGTTACGCCGACGGCACCGTTGGGGCCTGGGGGGCACGACGCTGTCCTCGTGGGGCCTCCTCGGGGCGCGGGAGAACTCTATCGAGGCCCCCGCGCGCCCTCCAGGGTGCCCCCATGTTCCCCAGGGTGCCGGTTGTAAACCACACCCTTTGGAGTCGCAGAACCTGGCGTGCACATGTGGCTGACGCTGACGCCTCGGGCTCGCCGTCCCCAAGCTGTGGAGATGGGTTCCCTTGACCATGGTTTGCGATCTGAGGCCCATCCATTCTATTGTTGAGGGGTGGCTAGTGGTCTCTCTCTCTCTCTCTCGTTGTGTCAGTCTCTTAGTTTTCATCTGTGTAGTCCTGTCTCTCTCTATGGCTGTCTCTGTCTCTCTCTCTCTCTCTCTGTCTCCCTTGCATGCTGCACGTGACTGTTCTGGCATCTCAGGAAGGGCTGCGTTCTTGCAGTCGTCAGACACTCAGATGCGACCCAGATCGGGGGGCTGACGGAGGAGAAGGGTGCCCAGACATGCGACGTCTTGATTTTTTCAGGACGGCGTCCCTGGAAGTCCCGACCCTTTCCCTGGGACCGATTTTTCATCCTGAGTCGTTTTTGTTGACGGTACCGAGCCCCGGCGAGGGCTCCCCGGAGCCGAAAATAGCCGAACGCCTCCCGTCCTGATTTTTTTACGACGCGATCATGTCTGGGTGTATGAGGAGGAGGCGGAACAAAAAGTAGAAGGGCGGAGGAGGACCCGCCCTGGAGGTGTCTCCTCCACGTCCTCCTCCCGGGTCGAGGGGGCCGTGAGCGTGCCTCCCCCCCCCGCTTGCGCGCGCAGGCGCACTTCGGCGAGGCGTACCCGCAGTCGCTGATGGTGCGCAAAGGGACGATGGGGGAGGGCGAGAAGGATCAAAGGAGGAAAACCCAGACATGATCGCGTCGTAAAAAAAAAGTCAGGGCGGTGGGTTTTCGCATATTTTCGGCCCCTGGAGGCCCTCGTCGGGCCTCGGGACCGTCCACGAACAACTCAGGAAGAAAAACCGGTCCCGGGGAAAGGGTCGGGACTTCCAGGGACGCCGTTTTGAAAAATTCGGGACGTCGCATGTCTGGGAAGGTGCCCATACCTTCACCCTTCGCCCGTTTGCCCCTTGTCGGGCCTTCTCGCAGGCCCTCGTCGTCACGGCTGGCTTCGCCTCGAGATCCTGGTCAGAGCGCCCCCCGGGAGAGGTCCACCAGGGAGTGGCGGCATCAGTACCTTCTGGCTTCCCCAAAAGAGAGGGAGGAATCCATTCAGGGCGCCCGAATGCGGTCCGAGTTGATGGGGTCGGGGAATGCCGCCACCTCGTTCTTCGATGCAGTGCCCACCACCCTTCCCGACTTCAACTATTGGTTCGGAGCCCTCCTAAGCGGCATCCCTGGCCAGGATCTAGGGTGGTGGGCAGTTTGGGTTTTTTGTGGAAACCACTAGAGGCCACTGGAGACACCCCTGCAGACCCTTGGAGACGTCCGGGGAAGGAGGGGGGGGCAGGAGCATCGACGACGGTGAAAGAGCATTCGAGGGTGTGCTACTTGGCTCTGTGGGTTTGGGCCCCTGCGGGGTCTTGGCGGCGGGGTCTCACTTCGGGGTGATCTAGGGGCGCCCACGGGGAGGAGGAGGAGGAGGAGGAGGAGGAGGAGGAGGAGGAGGAGGAGGAGGAGGAGGAGGAGGAGGAGGAGGGGGAGGAGGGGGAGGAGGGGAGGAGGAGGGGGAGGAGGGGGAGGGAGGGGGAGGAGGGGAGGAGGAGGGGGAGGAGGGGGAGGAGGAGGAGGAGGAGGAGGAGGCGGGACGGCGAGGAGGACAGTGGGAAATGGAGGAGGGGAGCCCCGAGGGCACCGATGGGGGGTCCTGGAGGGGTCCTGGAGAGCACGGCGCCAGGGAGCTGCCATCGCAGAGGGCCGCTGCCGAGCGAGGGCTCTGGGGCGAACCCGTGCTCCGCGCGAGCACCCCCTCCCAGAGGGGAGGCAGGCGGGAGGCAGCACGGCAGACGTTGGCTGCGGAGGGGGAGGCGCAGGAGGAGAAGGTGCACCCCCTTACCGCTTCCCTCCTCCCGCTCTCCCCCGTGGACGGATGACGCCCGTGGACGCAGGGCTCGGATGTCCCACGCGATGAGGAATGCAGGGCATTCCCGAGCAATGAGTGGAGCGAGAGGCAGAATGGGACACAGTGGGGGAGACAGTGGGGGTGTGGGATAAGCTGATTTACTTATTTATTTATTTATTTATTTGTTCATGTATTTATTTGTTTAGTTAGTTATGTATGTATGTATTTATTGTTTTATTTATTTATGTTATTTATATGTGCATAGATATATATAGAGAGAGAGAGAGAGAGAGAAAGAGAGAGAGAGAGAGCGATGGAGAGCGAGAACGAGAGAAAGAGAACGAGAGAGAGAGTGATGGAAAGAGAGAGAGAGAGAGAGAGAACATGTGAGAATGCATGAGGTATACACATACAGCGCAACGAGAGGCTAGGGAAGGAGCCAGGAAGGACGAGAGATAGAGGGCGAGTGTCAGAGAGACAGAGAGAGCGAGCGATATACCTCCCAACTCAAAACGGTATTGAGAGCATGAGCGAGGGCGAGGGTGAGGGTGAGTGCGGGGAAGCCGTGTTGGGATGTAGCGGAGTTTGGTCTGCGTGGGCTTTTCTAGCAGATGCCACAGGGGAGATGTCGCAATGGAGGCGCGAGACGTGAAGCGACATAGTTTGCGCAAGTGAGGTGTGTGCGTGGCCGTTGGATCTCCAGCGCTGCCCTCCTCTCACTCTTGGTCTTCCTGTGCTGCTCCTCCCCCAACTCCTCCTCTTCTCCCCCCCGCACGCTCACCCGCCTGCGCAGTGCAGGTGTCTCGAATGCGAGGGCCTTCCTACACCGCCGTATCTCTCTCTTCACCCCTCGCCCCTTCCGCCCCTTTCCCCCCTGTCTCCGTACCATACACGTATACGCCCCCCCCCCTCTCTCTTACCATATACGTATACGTCCCCCCTCTCTCTTACCATGTACGTCCCCCCCTCGTTCGGTCACGTCTGTCCCCCCCCCCTCGCCCCCGCCCCTCCCAAATCACTCGGGTGCCGCATGCCCGTGCTCGGCAACGAAGCCCCACCACGCCCAGAGCCCAGGGACCGTCCGAGGAACGGCCACGGCATGCGAGACCCCCCGACCCCGCGAGCGGGGGCGCCTAGGCACGCCGAGGGGAACATTGGAAGGCGGAGGCATGCTGAAGCAAAATCACACGGCGCTGCTCGACTGAGAGCAACACGCCATGAGCGAGAAGGACGCCTCAACGTCAATGAGGCTGTCATCCTGTCGCTCGAACAGCAGGCGGAAGGCGGAGCCACGCTGAAGCAGTATCACACGGAACGCACTATCAGTCACCCGTGTTAGGGTCAGAGGTTGGTTGGTGGACGCGCTTGTGCCCAGAACATTCGGATCTTGCAGCTTCCTGTCGCGCGGAATCCTGGCGCGGGGGCGCACCGAAAGTTAAGCCCCGGCGTTGCTGCGATATTGCGCGATGGTGTCCACTGGGACGGCAAATGCGCCGCATCGAGATCGCCTTCGCAGATTGCCGAGCATGTCGGCTATTTTCCGTAGTGGTGGCACACATGTGTTACGCCGTGCGTGTTGGCCCCATTGACAGACATGGTGCGAACGCTGAAGAGAAGGGTCGTCAGGCTTTCCTTCCGCGCGGATCATCCTCAACGGAGCTCATGGCTGATATGTTTCGACAGCCCCTTGCGACAGCAACGGGAGCCAGCGGGACCTAAACAACGTTTCGCGGTGACGAAAAATATAGGATTTTCATGCGCACATGTGTGCGCGCCCCAGGACATGTTACGGCCATGGCTACGACTATCTCACCGCTCCACTGAATGTATTCATGCGGTTGGCGTGGCGCATATGGGTGAATCACAATGTCAGGTCGTGCCTGATTTGTTCATAGATTTAGTTGTGAACGCTGGGGTTGTATAGTTGGCATTCGCAGTTCAATGGACGTGTGAAGTGACATCGCCTCATGTCTGATAATGCAAGCTCGTCTACCGGCGAAGCTAGCTTCTAGCAAACCATGATGCGTCCATCTGGTGTGCACGTTGCGTGAACACGCCCGTGTTGATTCCGCTCCGTTATCCCCATACGGATGGGCTTAAGGACGATACGAACGACTTTGTTTCCCCTTTGTTTTGCCCAGGTGGTGGTTCAGGCAAGTTACCACTTTCGTGCCCCCTGGCAGCTGCCAATCGAGGCTAGGTGCTCTCCTGTCATGGCCAAGTCCTCCTCGATTATGAGCGACTGAGAGGCAATCGAGGTGCTGAAGCGGTTCCAGCGACACAAATCCGAAGAGAGACGCCGGCCAGAGCGTGGGATGGCAAACTGGCATGTTATAACCAGCAACGCAGCTTGTTATCTCAGGGGCCGACGTGCAAGATCGAACAGGCTACTGGTAAGCGTCTAGTGACCGTTGGCCCATCCCGCTTAGGTGCTTGAGAAGTGTATCAGAGACTTCAGTTGTCTTTGGAGGTCTCATGATGAGCATATCGGAGACTTCATGGAGGCGGGACCTCTTTCGGGCCTGCCAGCGGTCTCGGGGGCCATCTAGGGGAGGAGGGGTCTTGTACCCGTTCGAGCTCATCCTTTCGGGTCCCTACTTGAGTCTCGCGGGAGCTCTTTGGCCTTGTTTGGGGTCCTTTGGGCCGCTTCAGGACACTATCGGGTACGTTTTTGGACCAGCATGGAAGCACATGAGACTGCACAGGCAGTATTCTACGTGATGGTTGCTCTTTCGACCAGCCTCCAGGGCTTCAGGACGGCCCAAAGCCCGGTGATTTAGAATGGCAGCATCATCTCGAAACGTTGGGGATTAATCCGGGCCTAGGGATGTCCCACTCGGTGCCTGCAGCGCGGCTGCGGACTGAGGTCATGGACGACGTCGCCAGGAAAGAGGGTGTGCGGATCCCAGGAAATGCCAGGTATTCTCCGTCAGAGGAGGCGGCCCAGTGCTGTCAAATTGTTGGCGGGTGGTCGCACGAGTGGAAGGCCACGGGGCGATGCTCTGCAGAGCGGTTGCACGCCCAAAGGGATGCTGTGTTCCATACTGGACGGATTGAGACATGCGCGCGTGGGATGTGTCGTCCATCGCGTCTGGTCAGCGTGTGTACTGTGATAGATCCGATCACAGCACGACCGCCGTAGACGCGCTATCAGTGTTTTTGTTGTGCTAACGGCGATGTAGGACAACCAATTGTAGGAAAGCATGGTGCGTGGCCACACCAATTGTAGAAACGCGTGGTTCGTTCTTTCCTACATATCGTTGTGTCTTTTTCGTTTGATGCATTCGCAATTTTTGTGGAATCTAGGAAACAGCGATTCGTGATTTTCTACATTTCGTTCTCCGCGAGTCCGGCGTCACAAAAGTCGGATTCTCAGCGTCGCCGTTAACCAACATCGCCGTTTGCGCGGCCGTGGGGCCGTGCGCGTCGAGTCCGGATGGTGCAAAGCTGTGCGACCGGTAAAGCTAATGGTAGGCTGTGCAGGGCACACTATGTGGAGACGCTCCTGTTTTATCGATATAGGTTTAGCATAATGTTCTTTCCCGTGAAGCCCAACATTCCAGCCCACGGGAGGCCAGGATTGTTCGTACGTGTTTCAGGGAAGGATGTACTGTCGTTGTCACATTCTGGCTCAAGGCCAAAATGCATCTGCTCATCCTGCTGCTGCCACAGTTGGTAGCGGAGCAGTGTTCGGCGCGGCATGCATGGGCGCCCCCAGGCACCGCTGATCAGCGGTGGTGTCGGGGGCAGCTCGGGCGGCTGCGCGGGCGCTGCTCTCACCGGACTGGACAGAG